GTTGCAGCATTATACACAACAGCCAAAAGGCGCAAACAACCCAAGTATCCATCAACAATTAAATGGATAAACGAAATGTATCATATACATACAATGGAATATTATTCAGCCATAAAAAGGAATGAAGTTCTGATACCTGCTATGACACGGATGAACCTTGAAAACATTTTGCTGAGTGAAATAACTCAGAAACAAAAGGACAAATATTGCATGATCCCACTTAGATAAAATAACTGGAATAGGCAAATAAATGGACAGAGACAAAAGTTTATCAGTGGTTACCAGGGGTGGGTGGGTGGGAAGGGAAATGAGGTTGTATTACTTAAGTAGTACTGAGTTTCAGTTAAGGATGATAAAAATATTTTAGAAATGGGTAGTGGTGAATGTTACACAACCTGATGACTATAATTAACGTCACTGAATTGACAGTGTAAAAATGTAAAAATGGTTGAACTAACTAATGTTTTGTTATATATATTTTACCACAATAAAGTATATAAGAAAAAGTCATATAGAGAAATAAGCAGAAGTATAAAAGTTAAAAAAAAAAAAAGACCAGTAATAAAACAAAAAACTAAAACATATTGAATGTAAGAATGTGCACTATTTTTTTCTTTGCAAATAAGGTAAGGAGGGCAGTAGGTAAGCTAGGAACATTTTCTATCACCACAGAAGGAAATCACTTTAGAAACAGGCCACATACATGCTTCATCAGAGCCCTGGTGGTTAAGCGCTCAGCTGCTAACCGAAAGCTTGGCGGTTCAAACCCACCTAGTGGCTCCATGGGAGAAAGACCTGTCAATCTGCTCCAGTAAAGACTACAGCCTAGGAAACCCTGTATGGGTAGTTTCTATAGAGTCACTATGAGTCGGAATTGACTCAACGGTACACAACATACATACATACATAACTTTTACTTTGTGAATTTTCAAATGCATACAAAAGGAGAAAATAACAGAATAACAAACCACTAGTTGTATTTACCTCCTGGCTTCAACAATTATTAATACTTGACCAATCTTGTTTCATTTACACTTCATCAACTACCCCATCCCCACTCCCTACCACCCAAGCCAGATTATTTTGGAATAAATGCCAAACATCACATCACTTCATCCGTAAATGATTCAGTATGTGTCTCTAAAAGATAAGGACATTTTCATAAACTATACCACATTAATATTATCACACCTAAACATAAAAAAGAATTTCTTAATATCAAATTTGATGTGTTCTCATTTTCCTAATGTCTTATAATTTTTTTTCTCACTTTGTTTTATTCTGGATTCAAATAAGTCTTACACGTTGTGATTCCCTGATACTGTATTTTAAGTTTCTTTTATCTGTAGGTTTCTCCTCCATTGTTGAGTCCACATCCCTCCAGCCTTGTTAATGTCTCTTTACCTTTCTTAGTTCTTTCCACAGTAGACTCAGATGCAGAATCAAAACGGCAAATTACAAGTTTGGAAACAGATTAACATTAAATTCCTGAACTCTTACCTTTACTTGACAAGGCACTAATCAGCTTCTACATCTAACCCATTGTCCAACCCCAGA